TTTTTTTTTTTTTCTTCTCTTTTTTTTCGGGGACGTTGTGGCCTACGGCAATAGCCCACAGCCCCCCCCAACTTCCCCAAGAATCCCCAACCACCACCGTCGTGCCCAGCAGCCCCGCCCAACACTGCACCATCACCTGCGCTAACGCGTCAATTGCGTTTATCCTCGTTGACTAAATGTGCGTTCAGTGTGTTCAAAAGCTGAACGCAGAACGCGAGTTCAATGAACGCGCGGTAGCACAACACTACTACGGTCGATCTTCCAGGCGGAAGTCAGACGCTCTTCATCCAATCCCCTGACGAAATGCGTGTGGTTCTCACGACGGTGAACGCTCAAGATGAACGTAACTGCATCAGCATCCCGAAGAAGGGAGGTGGTCGATCTAGGATGTGCCAAGTTTGCCTAGATGAGAGCTCTTTCTCTGGTAGGATGTCTCCGGAAGATGAAGTGGAAGTCAAAGAAATTGAAGATCGGATAGTGATCAATGGGGTAGGATACGAGAAGGAGTGTGAGGATAAGGAGTTCGGGGGATGCGTTAGGCTGTCTTTTTTGGATGAATCCCTCTTGCCGGCGGAGGTAGAAAACACAAAACCGTAGCGGAGAAAGTAAGCCCCGCCGCGGTCAGCCGGAACAGAATAGGTAAAGCAACGATTTTCGAGGATGAGATAGTCGAAATCATTAGAGGCAGAAAGGAGAAGGAGGGGCAAAGTATCACTGCCTAACGGGTGGAAAATATGGACATAGGGGATGGAAACCTCATAGAGAGGGAAAAGGAACATGTAATAACTTTTCTAAGAGGATGGGATAAGGCCATAACCTTTGATGACTCAGAGCAAGGGAGGATAAACCCAAGATATGCTAACCCTGCAAGGTTTCGTACCATCCCTCACGTGCCATGAAATGATAGACCCCCATGGAAGTATGCCAGAAGGACAAGGAGGAAATAGTCGCTTTCAGAAAGGAGAAAATCAGGATGTCCGTAGCCGAATAGTGCGAAAGTGCTTACGCGAACAAATATTTTTTTATCAAAACTTGAAAAAAGGAGGTAGCAATAAACTTAGATGGATCCACGATCTTCAAAGGACAAATGTCGCCACCATCCGAGATGTCGGGTCTATACCTGAAGCGGATCTCTTGTCGGAAGGCGCGGTGGGGCGATCTATTTATTCCATCTGTGATCTTTTCTTCGGATATGATAAGATCCCCCTGGATAATCACGATCGACACGTGACAACCATGAATACTCCATAATGATTAGGGTTAGTACAAATGATGGTTATAGCTATGGGATGGACCAATGAGGTGGTCGTTTTTCAACGGGCAATGATTGCAGTCCTCACAGAGTTCATTCCGAAGAAAGTGGAAGTTTTTCTGGATGACTTTCTAATGAAAGGGTCTGAGTGAAAGGACGAAACGGAGGTCTTTCCGAGGGTTAAAAAATCCGTAGTAGATCACATGACGGATGTGGAAGCGGTCGTCCGAAAGTCAGACAACGCGAACCTTATCGTCAGTGGGACTAAAAGCCGGTCGACGGACTTTTTTATCATAGTATTTTTTTTATTGCGACAAGGACGGAAAAAGATCGGATCCTGTCAAGCTGGAGAAGTTAATCCTGTGGTCGTCTCCTCTGAAGTCGATCACGGAGGTGCAACAATTTCTAGAGGTTGTGGGCTATTGGCGCATCTTTATAAAGCATTACAGTGACAAGGCGGAGCCCTTGTGCAAGTTGCTCCGTAAAGCTGAGAAATGGAGTTGGGGAGGACATCGGGAAAGAGCAATGGAAACTCTCAAGTAAGAATTCCGGGAGGGAGGCCAAGTGTTAGGAGTACCCTACTTTGATGATGAAGAGCATAGACCTTGTATAGTGTCGATCGACGTCGGACCTTGCTCGGTAGGGGGGCTCCTGCCCTAAAAGGACGGAGAAGGCAAGGAGCAGTCTTTAAGGTTCGAGAGTCGGACGTCCAATGCCTATCGAATTTCTCGGAATTAAATAATCATTCTATAGTAAAATTACAATCTAAATTACAAATTTTCATTCCATCTTTAAAAATGTCATTCCAATTTTAAAATTTTCCACCTTACTTGCAAACATTCATTCCAAAAATAGGGTATCCCTTCTTATTTTGACTGCATGCTAGAGATGGAATGAAAGTATGGATGAGTTCATGAAATATTTGAATTGGACTGTAATTCTAAGTAAGAATCTTCTGTCATAAATAAGTTAATCCAATCTAAATTAGAAGATATTTGTTATAGTATAATGAAAATTTAATTAAAACATTTCATTACCTCATCCAGACTTTCATTCCAACTTGAACAAATAGATGTAGTTGAAAGGGAAAACTTATATTTAGACGGGAACTTATCAAATAAAATTGAAAATCTTAGAATTGGACGAACATTGGAATGATAATTTATAAATAGGAAGGATTTTTATTTTTATGGAATGTTTTTTCAAATTTAATTTCTCGTGGGAATTTTTCTGTTCAATACACTTGAGATCCGGTGCGCACACACTGTAACCGGTCAATCCGAAGAACAAAAAATAACTAAGGAAGGAGGGGGGAGAAAAGGGTACGAGTCACTGAGGCGGAAATTCGTGAAAACTCATGACTCCAATCCAAAAAATAGTGAAGGGAAGGATGTTATTGAAAGGAAAGTATACGGGGGTGGATAGGAGAAGAGTGAGAGGGAGCAAAAAATTGAAGAAGAAACAGGGGTGGGAGATGAAAATTTGGTCGAAAATTTCGACCTTGACGACAGACTTGGTCAGTACAGTAGGGATGAGGGGAAGGAAGGAGAGGAAAATATTATAAAAGAGAGGGGGGGAGGAGGGACTCACGTGCACGGGGCGGGCGTACGAATGCACATGCGCACCTGAGAGTTTGCAAATCCGTCGCAGACTGCTGCACGGTGAGGCGTATGAAGTCGGTAGTCGGATCGCTCGACAGAGAGCGGATGCGTCCGAATCAGAACTAGCGCTCGAGAGAGAGAGAGAGAGAGAGAACGAGAGAGGGAAAGCGAGGAAGAGAGAGAGAGGGAGAAAGAGAGAGGGAGAGTGCGAGAGAGAAAGAGAGAGAGAGAGTGAGAGACAACGAACATAGCTGCCCTGCCGCCAAGTAGGAAGGGAATGTAAGTGCGCGGGGGATATCCTAGGAGATCCTAGCTGGCGTGTGTGTGGGTGTGGATTAGTTTCGCTGGTGGTCACAAAAGATCGGGTAACATCGGTCGTTGCGATCCGCGCCATATCCGCTGGCCTCGTATGCATCAGAGTTCGTGCCCGTTGTCCTCGTACGCATCATTATCATCGTCGTTATCTTTATCATCGTCATCGTCATCATCGAAGCAAGCCACGCGCCCTTAACGTCGTCACGGATTATAGAGAGATTGCACGTTGTCGCGCGTTTTCGTAGTTGCCACGTGCAAGAAATCCGCGCTCCACAGACATCGTCATTGGACATTCATTGTACGACAAGCAATCGTTATCGGGCGCATTGCAGTAGAGAACGGGCAACGCTCGAGGCACCTAGGCTTCTGGAGCAAGAGGTCGTTAACACAGCGGGACAAGTCATACCCGGGACCATAGCTGAGCCAACCGGCGGGTAGCTGAATGAGTCGTGTGGTGGTCACTGCGTGCGCGTCGCATCAGCATGGGGAATCAAGCTTGGGCGACGCGTGAGACGTACCCGGTGCAAGTCAAGTCTGCCCGTAAGCCGGGACCTGATCTGGAAGCTGTCGAGGCCGCGGGCTGTTTTCAGCGTACATTAGATAGGATCTGCCATTCGCAGTCTGAGCACAAAGTGTCAGGCAAGGGATTACAACTTGGTTAATTAATGACGGTGAGGAGACTATTTCGACGTTGGCATTTGTGAGTTCCGATGTCACTCTCATTTGGCGTGTATTGAGTCGCTCTTCCGCTTATGGTTCAAGATTACGACTGACTGTGCTTGTGTGCGCAATGTGGTTTGGTTTCCGCGATTCGCTGTTTCTCCTCTCTCTTTTCATTTTGGTCTAAGCGTTGAGCAGTACGTGCGGGATTGCTTCTTGGCTCATTGATGCCATTCGTCGTTCGGCGTGTGTCGAGTTGCTCTCCTGTCTTTGGTTCGAGGCAACGACTGTCTGTGCTCATATGAGTGATGCGGTTCGATTTCTGCAATTCGCTAAGCATCGAAGGGGGATCGAGGCCTCGATGGACCATCGCCGTCAGAGAGAGAGAGAGAGAGAGAGAGAGAGAGAGAGAGAGAGAGAGAGAGAGAGAGAGAGAGAGAGAGAGGGTCGAAAGGGTTTTTTTAATGACAACACGGCAGAAAATGCAGTTCGGAGGGCGGACCGTGCCAGTTGGGAGTTGGGATAGTCTGCATGCAGGCTGACCGTCCCAAAGCAGTACGTAGGCCTCTCTTTTGCTATCGTCACACAGTCGAGTCGTGGCGTAGCTCTACGGGGGAGTACTCACGGACCCGACAAGGAAGAAAACTGAAAACTTGGTTGGGGCCAGCGAGTGGCCTTGCCTACCAGTTCGAAGTCAAGCGTGAGGGGTTGAGAGAGAGGGGTCGGTGAGTTGCTTCACAACGAGCACCTCCCTGCTAGACACCGTTTCCCCCCCTACTCCCACAAACGCATCCAGTTCTCACCCAAAGTATGCATCTACCAACCCCTTGCCCTTGTCTGCCACCGCTGGGATATGATACCGACCCATACATCTCCCCCAGCCCCAGAATAGAGTACCCCCCAAAATTTGCCTTGTCTTCCTTCAAGGCAATCACCTCCTTCCTTGTTGATTCTCTTAAAGAGTAGAGCTCTCCCCCCCAGAACCAACCCACCACCCCACTAGAAATAATTTGTTTATGCTTAAGAGGAGAATCAAAATTTCGGACGTTTCTGTGGATTATTTCCCCCCCCCGCCCTTTTATCTCCCCCTGTTCCTCCGCTGCCTCCACTAAAAAGGACTGCCCTGATCACAAGCTCTCATTATCGGGCCCAACTTGGGACAAACCGGCTTCCTCCCCCAACTTCCACTAAGGCATCCAGTTCCGCCCAGAGTATGCCTCACCCCTATCTGCCTCCGCTGGGATATGATGTCAACCCATACATTTCTCCAAACCCCAGAATAGGGCATCCCCCAAAAATTTTCCCCCAGTCCCTCCAGGGCATTTCACTCCTCACCTTGTGAAGCCCCTGCAGAGTAGAGCTCTCCTCCTTAAAATCCCAACCCCGCGCCCGTGCAAAAATAATTCATTAGTGCGCCCAAAGGGAAATCAGAAATTAATAGTGGAGAAAAGAAAAAACAACGAATTAAGGAAATAGGATTCCTAAGATATGAGTGAAATAATCGAAAAATTCTGAAAATTATGATGGAGAAAAGGTATATGAGATTTTCTTTGGGTTTTGTTGATGACGATGAACAACACCCTGAAGATGATGAGGAGGAGGATGATGGTGACGACCAACTCACCTGCTGATGTGAAATGCAAACAATGCCTTGAAGAGCAACATCTAATGATGTTAGACTGATGATGATGATGATGATGATGATGATGATGGTAGTAGTGATGAGAATGAAGACAGAATGATGATGTTGATCATACTAAGGAGCAGCAATAACAACCCCTATGATTACAAACTGATGATGATGATGATGATAATGATGGTGATGATGATGATGATGATGATGATGATGATGATGATGATGTCAGTGATGATGATATGATGATGATGATGATGAAGATGATGATGATGATGATGATGATGATGATGATGATGATGATGATGATGATGATGACGACGCACAGCGCCCTGTGATGACAGCAAGATGATGATGGTGCTGATTACGATCACCTTTGATGATAACCTCATGATGATGATGATAGGGATTAGCAGAGCCCTATGATGACAAACTTCACCAATTGCGCCCTATGATGGTGAACTATTGCTATTGATGATGGTAATACAACGATGAGTGACGAGTAGCACCCCTGAGGAACAGCTCCTTGATAATGATGATGATACTAGTGCCGAACAGAAGTGAAGACCTATGCCTTGATGATGATGACGAGCAGTACCTTGATGATGATGATGGTGATGACGAGCAGCACCCTGATGCTGGTGACAAACCATTACCGTGGTGATGATGTCGACCCATGCCCTGTTAATGATGATGATGATGATGATGATGATGATGATGATGATGATGATGATGATGATGATGAGCAGCACCCTGATGATGATGACGAACCATTACTGTGATGATGGTGTCGAACCGCGCCCTGTTGATGATGGTACTGGTGACGATCAACACCCCGTTGCTGATGACGAGCAACGCTCTGATTGTGCTGACACATCTACTTCCTCATGATTGCAGTCACCACTGCACTCACACTTCAGTTTACCAAAAGGCTGACTCCATTGTACTCCACAAACGTCGACATAGCCAACGCCTCTCAGGCCATATGCCACATGCAAAAACGCAGCGGCAATTGAGTGAAACGTGGAGCTCCCAGAAGAAGAAAATTGAGAGTTAGTCCAGCCGCCACATCAGCTTGTGACGTGGCGTGGACAAGCACCTTTGGTTACCTGCGCGTGTGCAAAGCGTCTGGTTTACAAAAGAGATGGCCACCATCGCCGCCTCGTGCCGTCACCATGGCCCACCTGTGTGATGTCGCAACCTGGGGCGGAGCGCAACGCCCCGCCCTCCTGTTAGGGACTAAGGAGAGCCATTTTGGCTGACTGGCGCAAGAAAGTCAAGAGCGACAGAGGACCAAGGAGACATATTTTCTTTGGTGGTACTGTTTTTCAGATCCTGGGCCAAGGGCAATTAATTGACGGTTGTGTTCACTCTTCTCGAGGATTCAATTTGGTGGTCTCCAAGTGGTTATGTGTGTGAGTAGACTAGGAAGGGAAGTGTGTAAGGGTCGTGGAGGAGGACGAATCTGTAGAGGGGACCAAGGTATCTCAGTCAGTAGGGGGGAGGCTAGAGAGTGCCAAGGTTATAACCAGGGGCCAGGGCAATCGGTTCCCTAGGGACACGGTGGTTGAGTAGGTGACTGCCTACAGATAAGGAGCGGTATGATACATTCCACCAGATCGGATAGATCGGGTCGTCGATGTAGATGGATAATGGTTACCGTAGTATTGGCCAGCAACCTCCTTCAACTCTTCAGGCACAACTGTGAGGGAAGTACCTAGAGAGACTTTCACACAAGCAGTCTCTGGACAACTATCTAGGTATTGGTTAGCAACATCTGCCGTAGGCTAATGTGGTTTGGGAGTTCTTCTGTGGTGTGCGCACTCTTCTCCACATGGCCTAGGAGTAATGACAGTTGCAACTCCTACCGGCGGTTGCCTTTTGCTGCTTGTGAAGTATACCGGGCTTCTCTATACTTTGGACAATATTTAATTATGTGGCTAGGATAACCTCAATAAATGCACTGATCCTGGTCCACATGTTGCCATACTGACTTGTCCAAGCCTAAATCTTCCCATAGTCTGCCTTATGGCAAGCCAGGGTGCCATCCACCTTTTCTTGGAGGTGACTGATAAGATCGCGAGTGATTTGGCGGCGGACCTTGACCCCTACCTCCCTCTTGGCGGTTTCCCCTGACGCCAACCCGCTGAGCGCCCCATCCTCGACCACCTAAGGCCCGGCCCCCTTGGCCCTGGCCTCCCCCACTTTCTTGCGGCCTCCCTCCAACCATGATAGCAGCGTAGGTCCTCCCCTGACCCCCACTATTGTCCTCCTCCTCCAGGCCCCACTCAATCTGGTTATACGGGACCTCATCCATACCTCCCTCATCCAAAGTAAGGATCAAATGATCCTTGGCTCTAACCTGACCCGAGATGGTACGGCCCTTCCACTTTTTGCCCTTATCTAAGTCCTTGTGCCAGAAAGTGGAAACTGACATGGAATGTGTCTCGAACAATACCACCTCTCTACTCAACAGATCATATGTCATGGTGGGTTGTCGGTTCTTTTCGAAGAAGCGCCCCCGCAAGGGCTCTGGCAAGGCACGATAAAAGAGGTTGACGAACTGGGTCTCGGTGACCCCATGATCTGGGACAGTTACCAGCTCGTCCATAACGCCCTTGAGTGCCCTTGCACTCCTCCATTGGCGCGAGTGGATAGTTCACAACTTGTCTGAGGCTCTTACGCCTCGACTGACATCTGCAAATCGTTCCTTCAATAACTTAAGGAATTCAGGGAGAGGAGTGATTTTAGAATAGGTTACCATAATTTCGCACTATGCAGCACAAGCGAGGGATCTGGCAAAGCTGGCAGCTTCGTCTTTGAGAGCCTAGAAGGCAATGAGGACTTGTACCTCAGACTCGATATGTTGTAAATAAATGTACGTGTTGATACTCGCCTCCTGTTTTCGAAGTTTTCTTCCTTTTTCCCACTGTAGGGTTCAGGAAACTTGATCTTTATATACTCTCTATGAGGGCATACCTCTTCTTCCTTCAGCACGACCAGCTTTGCGCCCTCAATGGCGCCTGTGCAGAACTTCTTTGTGCCCTCGATCCTCGCTTGCATCGCTGCACCTATGTGCAAACTCATTTCGCGCGCAAAATCCCCAAATCCTAGGCGAATGGAGTGTAACACAATATCCTGGGCTCTAGCAAACTAATGTTGCTCATCCCATACTCTAACTAAAATTTCTATGTTTCTTGAAATAACATATAATTTTCCCTGTATGTCGGCTTGCGCCTGAATCTCCTCCCTCTGCGTCTTTATCACCTTCAACTCCCTCACCATTTTGCTCGCCTCATCCATCCTCCTCTTCTTCTCCCTAGTGAGACGCAACTCCCACTGTAACTTATTCTCCTCCTCTATAGTCAGGCGTCTCAAGGGTTTTTTTTCTGCCTCCCACTCCCTGATAACTGCTTCCTTCTCCTATGAGGGAACATACAACATGGCTTCTTCATCTTCTCCCATAGATAACTTTGCTACCCACTCAGATTTTTTTTTCTCCATCCAGGAATCCTCCTTTATGCCACTGGACTCTCCTCATTGCCCTGCACTTCTTCTGAACAAGGGCTCTTCCTTTTCCTCCTCTTCTATCTCTTCCTCTTCTACAACTTTCATTTTTTCTTCCTCCTCCTTTAGCCTCTCCATCTCTTGCTCCAACACTTTGTGTAGCGATTGTTATCGCACCGAGCGTTAACGGAAAAAGGGGTTCCACTACCGGACGCGTGGAGAAGAGGAATACAAGGAAAGAGCGATCCGGTTGAGGCCGTCTATGTTGGATTCCAAACTCTATAACGAGCGGCGCCAGGATTTGATTCGAAAACGAGATCCCAAGTGCGTACCACCGCCTTTCCGTTCGAAAAGACGACGAGTAGCCCGCATGGCGGTTCAAAGATACTTTTTGGATTAGGCGAACATTTGAGAGTAGCGCGGGTCATTTGTTTCCTGCGCGACTATCACCCTTTCTCACTAAAACTGGAATCACATGAGGGCTTTCAGTTTCGCTTGTGACCCCACACTCAATATTCTAAACAATCGTTGACACACCCCATTTTGTTGTTCTTTCAGGGCCTGTTGTGCATAATTTATCACTCCGATCGGAAGACAGAACAAGGCATGAGGTTAGAACATCACATGTTGATCCACCTAATGATAGTCACCAATAGGTCTTGAGGCCTTGTAGAGAGAGGTGAGGCCTTGGCACGAGCGGGAAAGGGTTGTGTTGGTCCACCTAATGACAGTTACCAATGGGTCTCATAGGAGCGCATCCTCCCTAGGATGGTAGGGTAAGGTAGGAAGGGTGTGCCTGGCTGCCTCGGTCTGTCATAATCTCCTGAATCTCTTCTTCCTTCAATTTTCTTCCTTTCATTTCCTCAAAACAATCCGCTTTCTTTCATGCTACACAAGACTCAGCTACGACTTAGAAATCTTTGGATTTTTCTTTGAGCTTCAAGGAAGTTCGCGAAGCTGTTACCGCATTTATGCTTCTGAATAAATGAGACACAGGAGCCAGTTTCCGACATTAGCTAAAGCTCCGCAATGGCCCCGGTTTGGGTAGAATTGTGAGCTTTCTGGCCTATGTTCCATTTTTACTTAAACCTCCACTACCTTTGGCTTAAACGGTCACTACGTTTGGCTTCAACTGCCACTACCTTTCGCTTCAACCGCCACTACCTGTCTCATATGTCGGCCGCAGGGAGTCATTCCAGAGGCCGGTAGGGGCGTTTTTTTCGGATGAGGTCATTTTCCCATAGGAAGTAGCGCTTTAAACCACCCATACTTCCTAAAGTTGTGCCCCCCTTACACCACTAGTAATTGGCCCAACTACCGATGTCGAGCCTTGCATGCCCCTGCGAGCCAATTTTCGCTGAAGCGCCGCGGTACCGTTTTGAATTTATCTTGGCAGGCGCTTCCAACCATTATGGTCCGGTACCCCGAAGCCCTAAAGGCGCGACGCGTTAACGGGAAAGCGCCGAGGCCGATAGCTGGGCCAAGTACTGGTGGTCTAAACCACCAGTATCTCGCCCAGCTATCAAGTCTGAGGCTCGGACTACCGGTAGCCCGATCATTCCCGAGCCTCGGGCAACCGGTAGTACATCATGGAAAAAAAAAAAAAATAAAAAAACCAAAAAAACATACAAAT